CAGATTTACCCCTGAACCTATTAATTGACAAAAATAACCATAACCATAACCATAACCCTAACCCTAACCTTGACCCTAACCCTGACCCTCACACCCACCACTGCCACACTCTGCCGTAACCACATACTGCCGCACCCATCGCCACACTTTACTGCACCCACCGCCACAACCACAGACCCACTGCCACAACCGCAGACCGTCGCAACCACAGACCCACTGCCGCAACCAGCCCCGCAACCACAATGCCACACCCACACCTACCACCAACACACTCTGCCGTAACCACAGACCACCACACCCACCACCACAACCACAGACCCACCATAACAACCACACCCACAACGCCACACACATACTCTATCGCAACCACAGACCCACCGCCCCACACACCCACCGCCACAACCACCGCACACTGCCACATCAAACACAACACAACACACTAATTGCCACAGTCACCGCACACCGCCACCACCACACAACACTTCAGATAGGGGAGTTCCTCGATCAGACCTCAAATTAAACGCGTAAAGCGCGCATGAAGGGCAGTGGTGGTCGGGTGGTGGCGGCGATGGTGAGTGATTCGCTAGCCGACGTTCCCAACGACGAGCCATATCAAGGAATTACCAATTCGCTCTCTGGTCAGAAGCATCAACGCATCAAGGACGTCTCGATCGCCATCGTCATCGAAGATTATGTGTGTAGGTAGGTGAAACAAATAATCATTCGTTTGATGTGATTATCATATTGTTTTCAATCTGCATAAATGGTTGTGTGATTAAGCAATTTATCAGTCAGTTAGTTTATTTTATTGGTATTTGTGTCAATTTTTAAATTCATATATAAAATATCAAGTTTGAAATTAGTAATAGAACTAAGGAAAAATCCAGAGTAATTGCACTTGAGCCCCAAGTAACTGTATTCCTTGCCCGACAAGGACTTGTATTACTTGTTTACCAAGCTAAGTTATTGTATGAATAAAGGTGAAATTAAGTGGAGAAGGGAAGAAAAGAGATTGGAGGAGCAAGTGAGAAGAGAAGAGAGAGGGTGCAAAGGGTGCACCAATAGTAGAGAGATGTAGCATTAAGAGAGTGGGCATTCGTTACAGTTGTACATTTTCTTCTTGATTCATTATAATGAATTTTTTTCTCTCTGAGGCCAAAGGTTGATTTGGGTCAAACCACATTAAATATTTTGCTATTATGTGTGCTTGTTAATGATTTGCTTTCACTATATTGAGTGAAGGGCTATTTTTCCCAACAAGTGGTATCAAAGTTGAAGACTCATCATGGATAGTCTGTTAGAGCTGACGGTTTGTCCTAGGAAGTTTGATTAATAGAGATATCAAGAAAACACAATTAATATCTATATATATATATATATGATGATGATTGAATGGGTGATTTTCAACCAAAATGGAGATTTGTTATGATTTCAAATTCATATTGTTGGGTTCTAAACTGCAATGGTTTGAGAATGTTTTGTTAGACTTAGACCCAAAGTAATTGTACTTGAGCCGAATAATGTTAAGAGCCCATTTGGGATTGCTTCTCAACCGTTGAAAACCTCTTTTATTTTAAAAAATTGCATTTAGTTATGTTTAGTAACAATTAAAAGCGCTTTTAATATTTACCAATTTTAGCTCAGTAGAGCTTTTGAATGAAGCTAGAATTTGAAACTTTTAAAACTGTGTTCCGAGTAGAGGATGAAGATTTTAAGTAACTCTTTTTCTTTAGACAATTTTGTCATTTTTTATTTTTTATAAAGACAATTACACTCATTCTTTTATAAAGTTGTTATTATCAGACATGCTAAAATACTATTAGTGGATATTGTTGTAAAATTAGCAATAGAAATGTTTTAAATAATATTGTTAAAAAAAAAAAAAAACATAATTTAACTGTAAAAAACACTTATTATAATATGTCACCAAACACCTAAAATTTTGTTACGACAACAATTTTTTGATAGCTCAATGCATAAAAGCTATTTTTTTATTCTTACAACAATCCAAAACGGGCTCTAAATATTTTGCTATTATGTGTGCTTGTTTATGAGTTGCTTCTTGTGTGCCGAACGAAGGGTATTTTTCCCAACATGTAGGACAACCTTTATATATATAGATATATAAATATATGCACATGCACATGCGCATGCACATGCATTGTAATATATACATTGCTTTACCACTAAGATATATATATATATATATATATATATATATATATATATATATATATATATGAACACACTATTAATATTTGTTAGTTATTATTTTCAATAAAATTATTTTTACTGGGGAAAAAAAAAATCTGTTCAAAATTTGAAGGTGTCAAATCATAAGAAGAATTTATACAAGTGGATCATCAAACTATTTTCTCGAGAAAGGATAGCGAACGAACAAAAAATTAAGAGTGGAGGAAAACTATAGAGATTTTCATCTAAATAGTACTGTAAGAAACAAAACAACATCTAGATCTTTTTTGTTCTTCGATAAATCTAATAGACATCAACATTAAACCTGTGAATTTTCTTTCGAACTAAGAATAAGCTTTCTTGTGCCCTTTCTCTCTCTATAGATTTATACATAAGTAGCAACAAACTTACTCTCCCATCCATGTGTTATTCCCACCAGAGTCTACACATAATGTGGTCAATTGCATTTAAAGGCATTCCATATTTATAGTTTAGACTTGATTTTTGTTTACGAAAATTCTTGATGGGAGTATACTTAGGCTCAAAGGAATTATAATCTTGTTAACAAGGAATTGTAATCCTTAGTTTAGGATTCTATAAATAGATACTTAGTGTAGATGGGCATGACATGGCACCCATCCACGTGGCATCATATTTGGAAAATTGCACTTGGTCAATGCTGTGTAGACCACGCTAGTACCTACCTTGCCTCTCTCTGAAAGAGACTAAGTAACCTCGAGCTACTTTTCCCAAAACGGCATATCTTATATGAGGAAGGGGTCGTTACCCTTCTCTCGAGGGACCCCACTCCAGTAGGATGGGTCCCACTTCTCGTGCTACCCTCGAAGCTCTCCCCTGTAGATAAAGCTTTGATTCTGGAAAAAAGGACCTCATCTCGAGTTCACCTGCCTACAAAACTCAGGGTGCGGATCAAGGATGGGGGGGTCTCGGGGAATCTAGAAGGTAAAGCCCCGAGGAACCCCTCTCCCGCATTTCTGGCGTTGGGAATCTGAGGTATAGCGGACTGATGGCTGGAATCCAAGGAAATGCCTTAAGGTGAGGCTAGCACAAGGGGGAGAGGATGATTATTACTTAGGACCGAGCTTTTATCGAAGGATAGATGGCGCATTGAATGCACCAATATGACTCGCATTTAATGCAGGACATGACCACCTCCTCGAACTAAGATACAAATCGCCTCGGGCCACCTACCGGTGTCCCATCTGTTAGAGGCATGACCATTTAACTTATGGGTAAAAGAGGAGTCATCCTCATGACCAGAGGTCCTGGAAGAAGTAGTATAAATAGGAGAGATCAGTTATTAAAGGATAGACCAACAACCTCTGAGCTCGAGTTACCTCAGTATTAATACCTGCCTTCCCTCTCTTAATCTCGATAAAAATAGAGGAATCTCTCGTGCTGCTTAGATTCCCCCTCGGACACTGACTTCGGTATTCTTGATCTACGTGGAATAATCTTCTCACTTCAAAGAACTTTCATCAACACTTAGATTATGTCCTTTAGACTTTTTGAGACTCAGAGATATGTAGCCTCGTGAGGGAGCTGATGAGATCTTCGATCCTCTATCTCATGCGGTTCGTAGAGATGTGGTTAGTGGTTAATATAATGAATAGAACACTGATGGCCAGCACAAAGTCTTGTGGAGTGGTACACGTGTGAAAAGTACAGGTGTTGACCACCATACCCTAGAGCAGGAAATATTATACACAGTCCAGTATCGGGTTTTCTTTACTGTTGTAATTTTCCTACAAAATTATATTGAAATCTCTTCTTATCTATAGACGTACACCAGTTTTGTCCAATTGTGTTAAAGCTTGTGTTCTTGTGAGGTTGGTTTATTATTTGTACTCAGATCTCTAGCCATTTGTGTTCACTTTTGCTGTCCCAATAGTTTGGTCAGGCTTAACAGCTTTTTTTTTTTTTTTTCATTTAAACTCCTGAAGAATAAGGGAATATTTTGATCCTCTGAGTCCAACAATTTGATCCTTTTGCTAGAAAAGGTTTAATCCGTCATAAACATGGACATATATACACTATACACACATACATTACAAAATGGTTATGTATTTTAATTTTTCAAGGGCAAGAAAGTCAATAGTTAATTTGTTAGAGTAGAATGCGAAGCTTAGGAGGCTCGAAGCCTGGTGGAGCACCCATAACTACGGGGGGTTACACACCGCTGGGTAGGATGGCATTCGCAAATGATTATGTTGACACTTGGCAAGAAAATTATTTAAAAGAGTAACAAATTTTAGATTTTTTTACCTAGTTGGTACTCACACAACCCTGACCTAGTTGGTACTCACACAACACTTGGCAGGCTAGTTTAAACAAAACCTGACCTTAAGGTTGAATGCAAGGTAATAAATTCCAAACCATTAAATTTGGTTGTACTAGTAGATGTCTCAATAGCCCAGTGGATTAGTGTCTCCGGTGGACTTTGAAGTGCTAGACTTGGACTCTCTACATCTAATCTAACTTCTAATCCTTCTTGTCTTGTAAAAATAAAAAAAAAATTGGTTGTGCTAAGAATGAAGTATTAAACAATCGAACTTTACTTCAAACAGCAAATGTAACAATATAAAGTGATACTTGAAACAAATAATAATTTACGGGATTTAATTGTTCATCAATTAGTTGTAAAATTATTATTCTGTAAGGAGAGGAGGGTATGTCATGAGATTTTATTTGGTCTTCTACTGTCAACATTATTATTTTCATAGAACTTTTTAGTACTTAATAATTTTGAGGTAGAATAAGTACTCTTGGACTATGGTTGAGTTGAACCTAACTCAAATTTCTAGCTCCCCGAATTCAAAGATTTGAATTGCATTTTGGTGAGCTTGGATTGAATTTTCGGTATGATTGAAGTATATATATGACTCAAAATCAGCGTTGAAGGGGATGTTACAGTGGCCATAAATTTGAATTAAATAATGAGTTTTTTTTTTTTTTTTTTTCCCTGTATTTCTAAAAATTTAAAAATATTTTGGTAAGATTGTATGGTTATCATAGAGATTCAGTAAAAAAGCAAAAGGCTAAGTACAAAATAAAAGTAGACTAAATTTCTGGAATTACCCATTTGCTGTATCCTGAACACTAACTCCACTAATATTGGCTGCTTCTTCAAGAGCTGTCTTCCACCTCCGCACCTTCTCCATGTCATCACTGAAATCTTTCTCATGTTTCTCAAAGGCTTTTTCAAAGCACCCTGTTTGTTTCCTCACATGGGTGGGCTCCACATCGTAGAAGATTGGGAAAACTGTTTGTCCCATCTTGTTCTTGCATTCAAGGATTATCGCCAGTTCATCCAAACACCACCTGGAGGAAGCATAGTTTTTGGAGAAGACGATGACAGAGATCCTCGATTCCTCGATTGCTTTCCGTAGTGCTGGTGAAATTTCTTCCCCTCCGCTGAGTTGTTCGTCATCTTTGAAGGTGTAGATTGATTTGAGAGACAAAGCATAATAGAGATGGTCTACAAAGTTCTTGCGGGTGTCTTCACCTCTAAAGCTCAAGAATACCTCGTATTTCCATGTTGTACTAGGTGGAGTAGAAGAGGAAGACGCTCTGTGTGTGCTCGTGGAAGCCATTTCTGGGTAAATTTGACGCTTGCGGGGGCTGTGTACGCAAAATTAGGAGAGAGAAAGACAGGAATTTGAAGGGAAGAAAGAACCCTCGGTGGCTCTTTCACTTCGTGTACGGAGTATCTTTATAGCCTCGCAGGAGAGAGAATGACAGGAATTTGAAGGGAAGAAAGAACCCTCGGTGGCTCTTTCACTTCGTGTACGGAGTATCTTTATAGCCTGAGATACACGCATTAGTGCGAGGACTGAACCTTTTTTTTTTTTTTTCCCAAAAATTTCCACGCTCGAGTCATTGTTAATGTGTATGTTTTTCCCGAAAATTTCCACGCTCGAGTCATTGTTAATGTGTATGATTGAAACATGAAATGACGTTCTAATTATTTATTTTTATATATATATATATATTTTGAACCGGCCATGTTGGGTGGTCGGCCGTGTTAGGTGGTGGTGCTATGGATGCCCTGTAACAATAAGTATTGTGGCCTTGGGTGATTGCAACAATTACATATTTTTAATTCAATTATCTTATATATAACGGATGAGTTTTTTGGACTCATTGAGAAAATGGTTTCTGATATGGTTTTCAAGGACAAATTCATGATAAGAGTAAATTGGAAGATAGCATTTTTTATTTTTATTATTTTTATATCTCCCAGCAAGATCTGAAAGTTTATACGGAAGTAAAGACAATAATATATTAGGTCCTCATTTACGGTATGTTGGCTACGTGGACCAATAATATATCCATACATTATTTTTAATCTGGTGAGTGTGTATATATATATATATATATTTTTGTCATTGGCAATAAATTTACACACAGATCTACTTTGCTCCTTTAGAGACTAAACCCTAACCATCCACTTTAGGACGCAAATGAGATGTTAGTTACTTACCAAATCATAGATGGTGATTAATTACTATAATTGATTTGGTAATTAAAATATGATGTGTTCATTTGTTATTGGTCCATATCAGTAGTACATCTCACCGGTGAGCACCCAAGTATTATCCGGTAAGTAGGGACACATGTGAGGGGTATACAAATCTAACTAATTAAGGGTAAAAGTGTACTTGAAACAAATGATGGTAGTTTTAGTATTTTATTTTAAAATTTAGCTTACTGTTGACATGACTTACGGTCCTAGTCAACTAATAGAAGCTGGTATCCGGGCATAATTAACCAAACCTAAATGGTGGTTTTAGCTTTTATTTGTCATCGATTGTTTTGGGAGTAATAAATCCAAAAGGTATCAGAGCATTTATGTAATGTTTCTGATTTTTATCATTTTTTTTTTTTTGGGATTTTCCTAAATTTTCGGGGTTAATTTCGTTTTATCTTAATTTGCGTGCCAAACACCGTGCAGTATGCCGAGTGTGTTTGGGAGTTGGTTGAAGCATTTTCTTGAGTTCAAGACTCTTGAAAATGCATGGGTTGTCATTTTGACATTTTTTTCATTTTTCGGGCCAGGAGGTCCCAGGTGGGACCCGCTACCAAGATTGTTGTGTATAAGAGTTTTATTTCGGATCCATTGCATTACATGCATTATTATTTTGTACAAATTTACATGGTTATATGTTGGATCGTGTGGTGGTAATTTGATTTGTATATGGATATAAATTTATAATAATGATCAAGAGATTTTTTAGTAACAGTGGGACGCGCCACTATTATTACCGTACCATTACAAAGTCATTACAAATGACTACATTTGGTCATTATCACACCTATTTCTTTCTCTCTCACGCAGCAAGCTTCTTCCCCCTCTGTTTTATTTTCTTTTTTCTTCTTTTTCTTTTTCTTTTTCTTTGAGCTTCATGCTTCTCCTCTATTTTTCAGCTAATCGGTCAGATTTTCGGTCTTGATTCCTTGACGAAAAATGTTCCTCTCATCGTTCTATATCACATCGTCAAAGGGTTTAATTTTCGGAGGAGCGGTGATCATTTTATGAATTTTTGAAGTTTTTGAATTTAAAGCTTCGGGGGGAGTTTGGGCTACTTGGAGTTGGATTCTGGAGGCACAGCTTTGGAACAGTAGAATCTTCTCGTCATCGACTACGTTCCCACCGAACAGTTTTCCGTTCTGCCGCCGTTGACATTCGTTGACTTTCGTTGACCGGCATTGATTGCGTTGACCGTCATTGACTTTTCCGGTCGAGGATGCATTTTGGCTACTTTTGAGGTAGGGATGTCTAAACCATTAAGTTTTGACTTTAGTTGAGTTCTTATACTTGAATTCTTGATGAACATGCTTAAAATGATAAAATTTCAGAAAAATTGAATGTCGGTTGTGTGTTTATATGCTTATGCGATGAAACATGCTCTAGATAATATTAATTGTGTACGTATATATGTGCTTGGTTGCAAAGTTTAATGAACATGTCTTGCGTTGAATTTGTTTCTTGATATTACATATATATGATGATGATTATGTATGGCTAAACTCATAAAGTGCAGGTATGTTTATATCACTTTCATTCATGGTATGGGCATGGTTTGGGAAAATTGAGGTTGAAATATAATGATCTTGTGGGTGGGTGTGCCGTGGTCGGGTGTGAGAGACACTGTCAGGTTACCACACTGGCGAGCTACGGGTGCACAGTCCCACATCGTCTAGGTAGATGAAAGGTGAAGTGCGTATCAGAGCTTGACCCAGCCGGAAGTGTGCCGACGAGGACGTCGGGCCTCTAAGGGGGTGGATTATGATGACCTTGTGGGCGGGTGTGCCGTGGGCGGGTGCGAGAGACACTGTCAGGCTACCACACTGGCGAGCTATGGATACACAATCCAACATCGCCTGGGTAGAGTAAAGGTGAAGTACTTATATGTAAGTGTGTCATCTCCAATTGGTATGAGGCCTTTTGGGGTAAAGCCCAAGAGCAAAACCGTGCGGGCTCGGCCCAAAGTGGACAATATCATATCATGTGGTGGAGTGGGTCGTTACAAATGGTATCAGAGCCTGACTCATCCGGAAGTGTGCCGACGGGGATGTCGGGCCTCCAAGGGGGTGGATTATGATGACCTTGTGGGCGGGTGTGCCGTGGGTGGGTGCGAGAGACACTGTTAGGCTACCATACTGGCGAGCTACGAGTGCACAGTCCCACATCGCCTGGGTAGAGGAAAGGTGAAGTGCTTATATGTAAGTATGTCATCTCCAATTGGTATGAGGCCTTTTGGGGTAAAGCCCAAGAGCAAAACCGTGCGGGCTCAGGCCCAAAGTGGACAATATCATACCATGTGGTGAAGTGGGTCGTTACATGAAATGATTTTTTTTTTTTTTGAAAGAAATGTGTTTTGAAAGGATTGTGAGGAAATGATTTAGAAATAAACCGGATTTTGCGAGTCCGGGGCTAGCTTGAGCTAGAGGGAGCACGACCCGGTGTAAGGTGTGAAAAAGTTGATACTGGGCCCTTTAATGGTTGCCAGGCTTTGCCAGAATTGGAATCGGGGATAGTTATCAATCTCACATCGGTAAAGTCAGTTAGCGGGTTTTCGAAAAGTGAATGTTGGGTCGGTATAGACCAAGTTTGGGATGGGATGCATCACACTTCATATCATGTGCATGATTTTGAAGAATTGTGATATGTGACTACGTGTATTGATTGTTATGTTATAAATGTTGTACGGACTCCAATTACATGACCCCGGCTTCTTTTCTATTCCCGTTCCTTGGTTATTGGCTCAAGGGAGTCCAAAGCTGGTGTTTTAGACATTACCTACTAAGCTGCTGAGCTCACCCCTTATCTTAACATTTTCAAGAAACCGGAGGAGTATGGACGTATGACTTGTATCCATGGACTTAGACTCCACTGCCATTTTACCTGTATTTGAGAGTTTTTTTTTGTGATGTTAGTGATATGACGTACTATGAGTCTTGGGATGACATATATATTTTATGCATTGACATAGGAAAGGATGGTAATGCCTTAGACAACCTCGGGTTCGGGTAAGGACCTGGTAAATGATTCAGACCCTCGGATTCTGGTCGTTACAAGTTAACCTAAAAAATAATAATAACAACTTATCAATAATAATACTGTAATAATAATAATAACAACAAGAAGAAAACAAAATAAAAAGAACAGAGCCTCACACTAAAGGGCCTCTAGCACAATGTCTTTTTGCCTCCCCTAACTAAGTAAGAAGTGAAGTAATAAATAAGATAACTATTTTGAAAATAAACTCAGACAATTTCTATGTTTTCCTTATTTATTACTTTATTAACTTTGTAATTGCGAACCATGTGCGCATTTGTGATTGGACCACATTAGCGGTCATTTGGGATCACCTACTCACTGATAAGTAGGTAAAATTTTTCCTAATTTAATTGGCATAATATTTACCTCCTACTCATTAGTAGAGATTTCCTCCTCCAAGTGAGGTGGCTCAATGAAAGAACATGTATTTTAAAATTAAAAATTGGATTGGATTCGTTAAGAAAGAGTATAATCTATTTAAAAAAATACAAGGCTCCCTTTCTATCTCTCAAACCCACTACCAAATCTTCTTTTCTGCTGCTTTTGCCCATCCCCTCATTGTCGTCTATCCTATGTAATTGTTATATACTATATGTAAGGACAATTCATGTTTCTAAATTGGGATTACTCAACAATTCAAACACATAGGAGATTTGAAAGTCAAAAATTGTTTCCAAAATGATGAGATAATTGAAACTGAAATTCTCCCTACCTAAGCTGCAGAACTTGCAAATTTTGATTTGTTGCAGAAATATAAACATATATGTATATATATATATATATAAACTAGATAAAGTAAGAATTAAAGAGGGGGCAATGAGAAAAAAAAAAAGATGGAAAGAAGGGAGCGATGGTGGAGAGAGCAAGAATGAGGGGGGTTGGGGAGTGGTGGCTGGAAGTGGTGGCGGAGATGAGGAGTGGGGCTGTAACCACCCACTACACCATATGGTATGATATTGTGCGGGTTGCACTGCGGATTTTTTCCTTCCTTTTCCCTCAGGGTGAGGAGGAACCCACTTGAGCTGTTATCCCCCAAGGGTCTGAGGGTCGGCTTGTCGTTGCCGACATTTATGTACGATATTAGTGTGATTTGGAATTGATTCTTGATAGGGCCAAATTTAGATATTTTAAAGGAATCACCACCTAACATCGAGTTCTGGTGTGTCAGGTCACCA